AACAATCTCTTTATGAGTATACAAAAAGATTATCTAAATAAAAAAAAAGATGTAGTTTCTTAATGTGATTCATGATTTACTGGTACATATGTATTGGGGCCCCATAAGGGAATAGGTTGCTTTGGCCACTGCAGTCCTCAGCTTCTCCCTCAGTCCATAGCAACTATATCCAACCAAACTTGAAGAAAATTGGATAGGCAAGTACCAATCATTTACAACAAGGAAACAGAAACAACGGACCTGCTAAAGTTCACAATAGTCAGGGGACACTAGGCACCAGTGCCATTCCATTAACAACTAGTCTAAAGAGAGTTTGGTCATCCTTTGATCCTTTTTGTCTTTTTACTTTTCCACTCCCAAAACCAACCCAAAGAAGGAAAAAGAAGAAAAGAAAGAAATTAGCAGGATCAATTCCATACAAGGAAGGACTAAAACAATAAATGGAAACACTCTTTCTTTTAAAAATAACCCAATTCAATTCAGCCTTAATCACAACTATTTTGGGTCCTACCATTGTCTTTTTTTTTTTTTGAGTAACTGTAAAATTTTATTAATGATTCAGAATATTTAAATCATTACAAGCATTTACTACACTACCACTTCAAAGCATACAGATTATAAACAGGCCCAAAACAACTGATCATTGAATCCCATGGATTGGTTCCTACCATAGTCTCTATCAAGAGCAATGTTTTCTCTCAAATCGCAAGTCCTTAGATCATTGCATGATTGCATTTTCAGACCATGTTTTTCTTTTTGGTCTTCCCCCCGCTCCTTTAAAGTCTTCTACTTGAACAAGTCACTCTTCAGTGGTGCAGTCATTGGTTGTCTTTCTCTCTCTCTCTCTCTCTCTCTCTCTCTATGAGAAAACAATTCTATAAAAATTGATTCTACCAATCACGGGGTGACATGCAAATGCCATACAAGTAGACAAACAAGAAACTACATATGCCAAGATGTGCTGTGGTCAACTTTGCTTGGGTGTCTTAATCAGGTTTGTTTGGATCCCTCCAAGCCAGATAAGAGGGTTTGGACTCCTAGACCCAATGGAACCTTCACTTGTGCTTCTTT